TCTCCCCTCAGCCTCCTTTTCTCCAGGTTCAACAACCCCAGGGATATGAGTGGAGCTGAAAAGCACCAGGATGGTGCTCGGTGGCTCCGACTCGCTGGACACGACCACCCCAAAGGGCTCAGCTCTGTCCTGTCTGCACGAATCACATCCCACATCCCAGCCAACGTCCATGGGGATGAGGAGTAGCTCCCCCAGCTCAACCAGGGAGGATGTGATGGCACCGAGAGGATAAAAGCTCATCCAAGAGCAGGGCTGGTGTGTGCCCGCGCTGGGAGCAGAACTACCCGACATCTCTCGCACTCAACCACAAGACCGTCTTTCCTTCCTGTGTGCAGACACACACCTACACTCACACGTACACATGCGCTCGCTCGCATGGGAGTGTCCATGCAAAGAACTCAACTGCTCAACCCAACAGCTTCAAAACTCTGCTAAATTTATTGATGCAACTGGCTGGAAAGAGGTCGGAGAAGTTAAATACCCAACGGCCCCCGGTGTGCTGCTCATCGACCAGCAACATCCCACCCCAGCTCCTGGGGCTGGTTTTGATCTCTAGGTGCAAACCCCATGAACGCCGGCGTTTCTCCCACCCTTGTTCAAGATCCTTCTTGCAGCAACACGCCTGGGTGAAGGAGCTGAGCTCAACCCAGCTCGCACAACCCAGGAGGAGTTTGGAGAGGACACGGCCACCGCGGCTTTGACACGTTATTGCTCCAACCTGCCAGACCCTGCATTTCTTCTCCCGCCCTGGAGATATTCAGAGACCATCTGGACAAAATGCTGGTTCATGTGCTCTAGGAGTCCCTGCTTGAGCAGAGTGGTTGGACTAGATGTGACCTTCAGAGGTCCCTTCCAACCTCAACCACTCTGTGATTCTTCTGCGCTGAACCTACGAGCAGAATCGCCGCTGTCGGCTTGTGTAGGTTGGGGCAAACCTGAGCCAGGGTTTGGCAGTGGTGGGTGACGGAAACGAGCTCTCCCCAGCCTTGAGGCAGGTGGGAAGTTATCCAGGGTTGAGCTTTGTCATGGAACAGCACAGCCCAACCTCCCACCATCCCATCTCAGTGCTCAAGGTGGAAAACCAGTGATGGGTGAATCTCCCTTCCCCTCCAAAATGTCACCCTGGGCAAAGCCACTGTGGAGACACCGTTCCACAGCAGCATCCCACAGCTGCTGGGATGTGGGTTTGCAGCTCCTTGTACCTCCCTGCACAAACTCTCTAGGAAATTGCTGTTAAAATCAGGGGCTCTGTGGCCTCAGCATTGTCACCAGCGATAAAGATCTCACTGCACATGTTCACACCGGCGCTTCCGGGGCTGACAGCACGTCTGGGCTGGGCTCAGCACCCAAAGCCTGGGTGAGGGGATGCTGTGAGGGGAGCACAGCAGCCCTTCTCGGGGATTAGGAAGGCGAATTAGACTCTAACCTACTTTGGGATTTTCCTTAATTCCTTCAGGTATTTCTAGAGTTTTAAGTAGGTGAGCGTGACTCGCAGGGCACACGGGCAACGAGTTTTGGGGGGGGAGCAGCCGAAGGCTGTTGGCTGCAAAAGCAACTGCTGAGGAGGAAGAGGAGGAGTGTGGCTCCCACTGCTTCTCCTCCAGACCCCTGCTAACAAAACTCTTCATAGAATCATAGAATGGTTTGGGTTGGAAGGGACCTTAAAGCTCATCCAGTCCCAACCCCCCTGCCAGCAGCAGGGACACCTTCCACTAGACCAGGTTGCTCAAAGCCTCATCCAACCTGGCCTTCAACACTTCCAGGGAGGAGCAGCCACAGCTTCTCTGGCCAACCTGGGACACTGGCTCACCACCCTCACAGTGAAGAACTTCTTCCTAATATCTCATCTAAACCTCCCCTCCTTCAGTTTAAACCCATTTCCCCTTGTTTTGTCATTAATTGCCCTTATGAAAAGTCCTTCCCCAGCTTTCTTGTAGCCCCTTCAGGTACTGGGAGGCCGCTATAAGATCTCCCCAGAGCCTTCTCTTCTCCAGGCTGAACAGCCCCAACTCTCTCAGCCTGTTCATTTTCAGTCAAAACAACCCACCCCATTGCCAAGCCCAGCACCTTCCCTGCAATCCATCCCAGGGGAAGCCCTATAAAATAGAAGGAATAGAGGAAAAAAGGGGTTTTTTTTGCAGCGTTTCACAACTCATCTCCCAGCCTGGCAGCAGCTGCCGAGTCCTGACGCAACATCTCCCCGTGTTTTGCATGTTTTTAGTTCAGGTCTTTTTCTTCTGCATCGCATCCCCCCCTGCTCCAACCGGCGTTGCCAACCCCAGCGCCAGCCTAAGAACCACAACGGGACACTGAACACAGCAACAACAAAAGGAATCCCATCGTTTGCAAAGGGAAAAAGAATAAAATAAATCAACAATGACTGTCAAAGCCAAGGTGGATTTGACCAGATCCCATCATAGAGACAAATTTTTAAAGCCAGGATGGTTTTGCTGAAGGGCTGAACGCAGGAGCCCTCGGCAAAGCTGCTGAGGGGATGTAGGAGAAGGGAAATTAGAGATTTTTTTTTTAAAAGTGCTGGATTATTTCTGGCCAGACCACTGAGGAATTTTAGTTTAAAAAGGGTCTGTCTCTACCTCCCGAGCTGCTGGCTGAACAGGAAGCAGAAACGAGGGTGCTGGGGCAAGTAAAAAAATATAAACTCAGTTTGGGCTGCAAGTTGGCCACAAGTTTAAGAAACTGAAAACAACTAAAAATTAGATTTCTCCTCATTTTCACCTAGAAAATACATTTGAGCTTTAACTCCCCCCATCTTTTTTTTAAAGGGAGACAAGGCAGAGATGGAGACTTCACCCCAAAACCAGCGTGGAGATGATAGTAAGGTCTTATTAATCTTCACATTTAACAACTCCTCTGTGGAAACCCAGGGGGGTCACACAGCATCCCTGGCCCCGCTCTGCCCCACACACCCCACCCACGCTCCCCACGCCGGGGCCACCCGAACCCCTCTGAGGGACTCACTTTGAGCTGGGATTTGGAGACCTTGCCGCTCTTCTCCACATCCAGGGCGGTGAAGGCGTACCAGATGGACTTGAGCAGCTCCGCTCGCAGGTCCATGGCTACAGGCGGCGATGGCAGAGGCGGCTCTGCCGAGGCCGAGGATCCGGTTCCAGGAAACCGCCTGCTCCTCCGACAGCCTTGGGCAGCGGGGGACGCGCGAAGCAGGAGCGCCATCTGCTTGGGTGAACCCCAGAAAAACCCATGGACCCCATCTTGGCCCCACGGGGTCCCCTGGGCTGTGGGTCTTTTCCAACCCCACCACCCAAGGGGAAGCACAATCCAACGCTCACAAACAGGACAGGGATTTGTAACCCTTCGCTGGCTCAGCCCAGAGATCAAAAGCTTTCTTGGTGTTGGTGTTAGAAATCCCCTCCCTGACTCAAACAGCAGCTTCCTCTTCTTTAAATGAAGAGCTTCCCCTGCAGCAGGAGCACGGGCTGTGCCTTTGGAAAGGCTCCAGCTCTTGCTTGTTTTGGGATCAGTTGCACCAAGGAAGCTCTCGCCCGCTGCAGCTCTCCCGGGTTATGCCCGTTCCCTGCCTGCAGAAACCTCCTCTGCAAACTCATCTATTTCCAAAAAATAAACCCCCTGATTGCAGGGAGAGCTTGTGCTCCTGTTGGACTTGATGATCTTCAAGGTTCTTTACAACCTAAATGATTCCATGGAGCTCTCCGCACTGGATTTGTCTGCACACTGCCCGGGGCAGAGGGAGGCAGCGGAGGGGCTGAGGTTGCTCCTGCTGGGTTGAAGAAGCCAGCCCAGGACTCGTTCCTCAGCTCAGAGGGTTGTAGGATGTGTTCACAGACACATTTTCTTGTATTGACACAAATCCCTTGTAGAAGTCCTTGGAAAACCAAAGCCTCACCTGAAACTCAATTCTTAGCCCCTCTAAGACACACACTGAGGGCTTAGAGGCTACAACTTCTCTTGCTCCCAGACCTCAGCGCTGATTTTGGACAATCACTGCTCTGGCAGGACACTTTTGGTCAATTCAACAACCTCCTGAACTTCCTTAATCCTGACATCTGCAGAACAGTAACATCCATCCCACCCTTCCCCCCTCTGCCAGCCACTCGCTGCAGGGACTGAAACAGAAGAGTGATTTTTTTAAAAAGAAAAGAAGAAAATTTTAAATTTGTTTTTATTTCAACTCAGTATTTACATCCAAGGCCATGTTCAACCCTTGACAAGTGCTGCCTGGCTTTGGTGGAGGGAGTGCTTTGCTCTGCTCCACAGCGTTGAGTCTGCCAAGGAAGTTTGCTCGAGAGTGGAGTGTGATAAAGAGATGGGAGAATTGGTGTCAGAGCCAGCCCAGGCGCTCGCTCCAGCATCAGGAACTGTCACCACTCCAGCCACCAAGCCCAGGACAGCCTGGGCTTGCTCTGATGGGGCTTTATTGCTTCTGGATGGACATACGCTGCCCACTTGTCCCTTACCTGGAGTGGGCAGGAAAGGGAAGTTGTTGGACTGTTCCTACAGGGAGAGGGCAGGAAGTGCCTCTCCAAAAAAGATTTTGCATTCCCAGAGACTGCTGAGATCTCTGTGGCTCCACCTCTACTGCAGAAGATTGGCAGGTCTTAGAAATCTTAGCCATGAAGAAATAAATATTAGAAGACACAATCTGCCATCTCCTCCAGACAGAGGGAGTCTGTGCCCAAGGGAAGGAGCAGGAAAGCTGCTGCTCAGAGCCCAAGAAAACAGCAGAGCCTCCAGGAGAAAGCAGCAGCCAAGTATCTTCGACATCCCTCCTCGGAGAGAAGAGCCCTTGGAACAGGGTCACTCCAGTAGCCCAACGCTGCCGGCACCAGCTCTCAGTGCCTGCAGGGTGCACACGCTGGCCGCTGGCCTCGGACACCTTCCCTCGCTCATGCACCCCGTGTGCCGTGCGTGCCAGCTGGCCCGGTGCCTGCAGCTCCCGCCGCCCCCGTGGAGAACAGGCTGGGGCTGCCTGCTCTCCCTGCCCTGGGGGGCTCTGCGGGGGCTCAGCACCCATTCTCAGACACGGCTGCCTCGAGTGTTACAGGTTCATGCTGGAGCGCTGCTGCGGCCATGCTGATGGCGTCCTCCAGGCTCTGCTGCTCTTCCAACTAAGGGAGGAAAGGGAGAAAGAGAATAAAGAGAAGAGAAGAAACTTCTTTCCAGTGAGGGTGCCAGAGCCCTGGGACAGGCTGCCCAGGGAGGGTGTGGAGTCTCCTTCTCTGGAGACATTCAAGACCTGCCTGGACGCCTTCCTGTGTGATCTCATTGAGGTTCCTGCTCTGGCAGGGGGATTGGACTGGATGATCTTTTGAGGTCCCTTCCAATCCCCAACATTTTGGGATTCTGTGTAAGTGTCTTCCCAAAAAGTGGGCTCAGGAAGTGGGGGCTCGCTCAGGGCAGCCCTCAGCAGGACAGAGGTACGAGGGATTGGCCGTGGGTGGCACAGGGAGAAAGCAGCAGGGCAAAGCAGAGAGAGACATGGATACAGAGGGGAAAGGCTGTTTACAAAGGAGCATTCTGCAATCCAAGGGGCATGTCCCTGCTCCCTGCTGTCCACACGGCATCTGGGAATTAACGAAGAAGCACCCTGGGCAAGAGGGCAAGTGCTGAAGCCAGTGGGTGGGTGGGGGAACAGAGGGGAAGGTGGCAGGAGCTGTGTGGTACCTGCACTGCGATGTGGGTGCCGTTGGCAGTAGCCAGCAATGCCACCTGCTGATGAGGGAGGGACACGATGGCAGATTCTTCAGCCACGACTGCCCCAGAAGTGACAATGCTAACCTAGAAGTTAAGATAAAAACCAGTCATGTTCTAAAAGCAAATACCATTCCCTTTCAGCAGGCTGGTGCTCTGCAGGGAAAAGGGAAGGTCCCAGTTTTGTCCGTACCGGCTGCGTCTCGGTGCCACCCGCGCTGGCCACGGTCACGGTGTGTGTGTCACCCCCCGCCAGCTCGTCCTCAGGCACAGCGAGGGCACCGCTCTGTGTCACCATGCTGATTGCACTGCCCAGGGCCTGCAGGTCTTCCTGGGACAGACTGACCTGGGCAGGATAAAAGCAGATGCTCTCAGCCAGGATGGCTTCTCAGGAAGCCTTACACAACTCCTGAGTTTAGCAACACAAAGGTCTCAGTGAGGATGAAATATTCTCTCCTCCTCTGCATGTAAAGACCTGGGGCACAGAGAACTGCAAGGACTTTGCTCGGGGTCATGGACAGAATTGATGGAGAACTCACAGACATCAAGTTTTCAGCTCTACCCCTTCTAGCACACCTCCCCTTCCCATTTAGCATCTCCTCTCCATGCTCTGAAGCGACAGCCTGTGCATTGCTGCAGCAGGGAGCAGCTCAGACTAAGAGGAAACAATCCTGGCTCGTGGCAGCTGTTTCCTTTGCCCTCTACCACAGAAGGGAGTTTTTCCCAGTCAGCACACGAGCAGCTGCTGGAGGGAAGTACAAGAAAAGCACTGCCTTATACAGACAATGAAAAAACCACCTCCAAATCCAGCCTGTGTCAGCAGAGATTGGGAGCTGCCTCTCAACAGCTGGCTGGGAGGGGAGAGCTGCCACACGTGAGCCTGGGCAAATGCCTGCAAGACCCCGACCAGCAGGAAGATGAGTCAGGGACCAGAGGCCTGTTCTTCACCCTGCACATCAAGCCTGCAGCAGTGGGATGAGGCTGGAAGGAGCGAGCCCTCATGACAGACAGAGCCCATGAAGCCCCAGAGTTTGTTTTATACTGAAGAAAAGCCTTAAAGAGAAACACCAAGGCTGGGTAAGGCAGAGTTAACTGTGAACGCAGCTAACTGCTGTCCCCCACGTGCTGGAGGTTGTCAGTGTCCATACCTGCTCTGTCCCGTCCTGAGAGATAAGCGAGACCTGCGTAGGCACACCATCATTATCTTCCTCTTCATCTTCCTCCATCTCTGACAGGAAAGCAATATGCTGGCTCTTCAGGGGGGAGCCTCTGTCAGCAGCAGCAGCTGATTCAGGGAAGGGGAAGAGTAAAAAAGGTGAGAGAAGCACTAATTAATCAGAGTGTGAAAGCACACGCCTGACCCCGCGACCTGCCCATTGCCTGAAGGGCCAGCACAGCAGAGGACAAGATCACAATGACAACAGCTCAGTGTTGGCCTGGGGAGGGTCTTTGCCTGTCCCTGTACTACAGAATGGGTAGGAGAGTCCATCCCCAACCCGTGACATCCAGCGAGGACCACGAGTAGCCCTTTACTCTCATCTGTGACCCTGATCTGGGTTTGATGGGGAAGGCAGGAGGCCAGAGCACAGACCTGGGTCTGAAAGAGGAGAGTGGCTGCAGGTTCTTGCTGTCATCTCCCTCCCTTTTGCCACATGGCCTAACCCAAGGCTCCCGCAAGCGATGGGGAAGCAGTTCCTCACCCTCCAGCTGCTGCTGTTCGTAGAGGGCCTGTTCACTCTCCTCCGTGGCCTCCAGCTCGCCGTGACTGCTGCGCTTGTGCATGGCCAGCGTGGAAGTCTGGCGGTAGGTCTTCCCACAGCTATTGCAGGTGTAGGGTTTGCAGTGTGTGTGGACAACATGGTGCTTGTAGAGGCTGGAGTACTCTGTGAAGCGCTTTCCACAGCCCGGCACAGTGCACAGGTACGGCTTCTCTCCTAGGGAAGAGGCCACAAGAGCAGAGCTGAACCCAGTCACCCTCCTCATGCTATGGGAATGGATTCCCCAACAAGAGGGAAGAGCTGGAGACAGACCACTGGAAGAGGCAGAACTATAATCAGCCCAATAAAGCCATTCCTAATTCCTTTAACTCCCTGGCTATTCCCAGATCTACACCTGCAATGCCTGGCCTGGAAATGACCATTTCAGTCCCACAGATTTCCCTGCTGCCACACGACAGGGGAGGAGCTGTCTGTGTTTCACCCTCTTCTCCTCTTACCTGTGTGGATTCTCATGTGGTTCTTGTAATTGGTGGCACTGGTGAAGCCCCTTCCACAGTTGGGCTCGGGACACATGTAGGGCCGCTCGCCTGTGTGCGTTCGGATGTGAACCTTGCGGATGTTGGATGTGGTAAAAGAGCGGCCACAGCCCACAAAGGGACACTTGAAGGGACGCTCACCTGCATGAGAGAGTAAATGGATGAGAGTCCTGCTAGAACACAGCTACCTGGAATGCCCTGGACACCTGTATCCCTTGACTCCTCCACAGTGTTACACCTGTGAGACCTCAGAACAGACCCAACCGCTGGCACGTCTCCTCTGGCAACACTTTTGCTGAGGAAACCCCTTACCACTTTTGCTCTGCTGTTCATAACTGAGTTGAGAATCCCTAATACTCATCTACTTCTGCCTGAAGACAGCTTCAGTTCTGCCTTGCTTCACCTGAGACACAAAAAGCCACATCCTGGACAAAGGCTGAAGTGGTACCTTATCTCAGAGACCCCATCAATGGGGAGCTCAGTTCTTCTCCTGCTCACCTGTGTGTGTCCGGATGTGTTTCTGGAGATCCCCAGAGGTTTTGAAAGCTTTGCTACACACATCTTCTGGACACTTGTATGGTTTCTCACCAGTATGTGTTCTCACATGGCTCTTCAGCCCATATCCTGTCCAGGAAAGAATCTACAATTAAATTTTATCAAGAGAAGGAAATAATATGGCAAGCTGTGTACCACCACCTCTCAGTTCATCCAGTTTTGAATGTCTGTCCTGTGTCTGCAGAGCTGAAGAGGAAGAAAAATCCAAACAGCTTCACACTACCCCTGACAACTCAGCTTCTTCCTATAACTCCTTTAATCTGTCAGTAATCAATCAAATCCCAGGCAGTCTCCCATGACACAGTCCCTTCTCAGAAGGTTTTAAAAGCTATGCTCCTTGTGTTCTGATGGAAAAAAGCCAGGGCT